CAGGATATGTTCGAGATGAGAGGACGAACTGGCAGCTTGTTAGTTTTACCTGCTACCTTTGTTGCATTCTGAGATCCATTATACTTCCTGTCGCTTCAGCCTTTCACAAGCGAATGTCGCCACATCGCCACTTCGAGACGTGCCATCACTACCTTCTTCGTCGTCGATTTCACAGTCATTACTAGGTCTACGGCCGTCACCACCTTTGAAGGATCTATCCGGATTGCAGCGAAACTATCAGCCGGTTAGCTTTTTTTCAATCGTTTACTGATTTTTTCATTCGAATTCGATCGTTTATAGTCGGCGCCTCGTACGCAACCGTCTTCTGGTAGCAAGAAAGGCGCTCAGCCAAGTGCTGATGGTTTCTTCCATTGTCGCCTGTGTGATAAGTGTTTCGAGAAGGTCAAGGTGAGAGCAAAGAATTCTTAATTTTTTAGCAGTGTAAACCAAGAACTAACTGAAATAGCTCCTAGGTGCTGGTAAATGGACCCTACCACGTCATACCTTTTTCATTCCTTCTATTCCAGTCACTTAACGCCCATATGAAGTCGCATGCAATGAAAGCACGAGCTGAAGCTGAAGCGAAAGCCCAAGTGGACGCTCAACTGGCTGCTCAATCTAATGCGGTAGGTGTTTAGTTGTTGCCAGAAGGGAAAGATGCTGCAGCTTGTGCTGAGCTTTCTGATTCTTTCTAATGTGTCATTTAGTTCCAGAATGGCCATCTCAATCTCAGTGGTTTGACAACATCTCTACAAGGTGTTACACAACCATTGCCAACTGTTTCGACCCATCCAGCCAGTGGTCTCAATTTGCAACATGTACGGGTCATTTTTAATTTGTAGTTACCACTTTTCACCACTTTTGAGCAGGAAGGAGGTAGTGTAACGTCAAGTGGCACCCTATCACACAGCAAGGCCACAGAGGGAAAGGATCAGTTATGTCGGTTTTGTGCAATCGATTCGCCGCGCGCGGCAGCCGCGGACTAGTTGCATCGCCATTACAGAATTAGGGTCCTTCATACAGCTAGATCGATGTGTGATTAGCATTTTTGGTGTGATTCTACTGTTATTTCTTCTGTTCCTCTGTTCCCAATACAGTGTGGGATGCTGGGCAATTGGGTAACAGCTGGGAAGAGAGCCCCTCTCGCAAGAAGTTCCATGCTGACCAAACCATTTCGCAAGTACGCACTTCTCTGTAACATGCAACACTCCCACTCATGTTTAAAGTCTC